ATCGAAACAACTCTACGGCTTGATGGTAGTCCACTGTTTTCAATTGTAGAAGTCGACTTTCTTTCTTCTTCTTCTTCTTCTTCTTCTTCTTCTTCTTCTTCTTCTTCTTCTTCTTCTTCTTCTTCTTCTTCTTCTTCTTCTTCTTCTTCTTCTTCTTCTTCTTCTTCTTCTTCTTCTTCTTCTCCTTCTTCTTCTCCTTCTCCTTCTCCTTCTTCTTCTTCTTCTTCTTCTTCTTCTTCTTCTTCTTCTTCTTCTTCTTCTTCTTCTTCTTCTTCTTCTTCTTCTTCTTCTTCTTCTTCTTCTTCTTCTTCTTCTTCTTCTTCTTCTTCTTCTTCTTCTTCTTCTTCTTCTTCTTCTTCTTCTTCTTCTTCTTCTTCTTCTTCTTCAAGTTAGTATATCTTAATTCCGTGTTCCTATCCCGTGGTAAATATATTCTTCACAATAATTGTTCCTGTTGTTTGTGTTTGTTTGTATGATTGCTTGTTTGTTTAAGTTATAATGATTTGTCTTATTTTAGGTGGACCTAACCTTTCCATATTTTTTTACAAACTATCTTTCTGACTAAGTGTTTAACGGAGATTATTTCAGAATATACTATATTCTGCTTTTAAGTGGAGTTTGTCATTTGATGTTCTTTCTTTCTTTTTTTCTAGTCAGTGTTTTACGGTGCTTGCAACTGCATAAGGTCATAATATGAGCGCGAGGGACACTCCTAATATTTTCTCTAGGTAGGAAACACGTTCTCTCTGTATGTTATTTACGTGTATATATATATATTACCTTTTGTCTTTGAAGGTGGAGCTGGACTGGTGGCGTTCCAAGCTTTCTTCTCGGACTCGAGCGACCAATCGTCTGAAGACATGAGTTTCCCCAACACGTCTGCTCCCATCGTGTTCCCGCACGTCCCCCTCAACGTCATCGACGCCTACGATAGCCAAACCGGCAAGTTTACGGTGCCCAAAGAGAACATTTACCTCCTGGCCACCCGGGTGTCCACAGCTTTCGGGAGCGGGTCCGCCATCTTTTCCATTTACCGCAATGAACAAGTCCTCGCCAAAGCGGAAACTCACTCTCTCCGTCAAGGTGATGTTCGTTGAATATCATTTTATTATTATTGTAGTAGTTTGTGTGTTCTCTGTCTCTCTCTCTCTCTCTCTCTCTCTCTCTCTCTCTCTCTCTCTCTCTCTCTCTCTCTCTCTCTCTCTCTCTCTCTCTCTCTCTCTCTCTCTCTCTCTCTCTCTCTCTCTCTCTCTCTCTCTCTCTCTCTCTCTCTCTCTCTCTCTTTCTGTCTTTGTCTCCATTACACACACAAACACAAACGCGCTGTCTGAAACAGATAGATAGATAGATAGATAGATAGATAGATAGATAGATAGATAGATAGATTGATAGATAGATAGAATGATAGATAGATAGATAGATAGATAGATAGATAGATAGATAGATAGATAGATAGATAGATAGATAGATAGATGAATCAATAGATAGATAGTAAGTAAGTAAGTAGGTTTATTCAGTGTTCAAGGCCATTGGCCCTCATCACATCGCACAATATATTCATTTGATAAATAGTGTTTCCATAATGAATAGGTAAAGGTTCTGCACATATCTCTTATCATGAGTCAAACATTTAATTATATTTCTGTCACTGGGCTCAGTCAGGCTGGGAGGAATTAACAATTTCCTTTGATGGACAAAGTGTGAACAAAAGAACATAAAGTGAAATTCATCTTCAATTTCATGACAGTTACACCTCTCACATAAGGGCGAATTAGTTTATGTCCACCGATAGAGATTGTTATTTAGTGGAAGTCTATGAGTTTTTAACAAAGCAATGATTCTTCTGTTCCAATACCGTGGGAGGTTGGTGACATATTCAGCTGTTTCTTGAAACGAAATAGTAAGAGAGAATAAATTATACTTGCAACAGACTTCTTCCTTTATTTTCTGCACAGAATGATCAACAAGAGTCTAGTGCTTCCAACATTATGAGAAAACCAGGCATATCCAAAACCCAGGGAAAATAATAGGTTTTAATCTTCCGTAGCCCAGTTGACTCTGCCCAGTTCACAGGAACGATAATTGCACGTAACATAATAGATAGATAGATAGATAGATAGATAGATAGATAGATAGATAGATAGATAGATAGATAGATAGATAGAAGGGCAGAACAAAAATGACCTCTGTGACATCATCTATTCCAGAGCCTGATGGAGTGACCGCAGTGGCCATTGCCAGACTGGAGAGAGGTGAAGTGGTGGAGGTCAGGTCGGAGCTGACCAGCTCGGCGCGGATCTACCGGGGTTCGAACACCTGGTTCCTGGCCATCTCTCTCAACCCCAGCATGAAGGACTCTACACCTATCGCCGTTGCTTAGACACAACTCGAGTTTTTCTTTTTCTTTTTTTTTTTTTTGCTCTGGACACTTTAAAATTTTTCAGTTGGTAGGAAATTTAGAATTTTGCCCGTGTGGCAGCCGAAGCCTACTCTTATCGATTTTAAACCACCATTGGATCTTTAACGTGCACAATTTGCACTTGGGACCTCAAAGATTTTTCGCCCTTGTCCGAGAAGGCTAGGTGTAGATCTTTTCTACCAGAAGATCACGAGTGCGGCTAAAAGGCAGCAGTAAGAAGCGGTCAAGGAGTAGCAGTAGAGAGGCTGTAGAAAGAGTCAGGAGCCCACAGGACAGGGCAAAGGATGTGAAGAAAGTGGAGACGAAGCAGACAACAGAACATTGTTAGAGAGCAGGAAACTTTTCCGTCGCTACCCGGATTCGAACCCACGACCTTTGAATAAGAGGCAAACACCTTAACCTCTTGGCCGCGAGATCCTTCAACACTAGTTTGTGTATAAAAATGGAGAGTAACAGAAAGGAAGAGAACAACAAATAAAGACTTATCTACTGAAAATTCAGATCCAGATAATATTATTAAAAAATTTTTGTGTTGAATTTTTAAAAAGTTGTTTTGTGTTTTAGAGTTCCAACATTGATGTACAGGTTTTTGTTTAGACAGATTGTATTCTGTTCAAGACTTTGCTGTATTGCTCGTTCAGGATTTGAAGAAAAGGGTTGTGATTTTGGGCAGGTTTTCCCTTGTGGTTTGCAAATGTCTTCAAATGTCATGAAATGTCTTCAGATGTCATGAAATGTCTTCAGATGTCTTCAAATGTCTTCAGATGTCTTCAAATGTCTTCAGATGTCATGAAATGTCTTCAGATGTCATGAAATGTCTTCAGATGTCATGAAATGTCTTCAGATGTCTTCAAATATCCATAAAGAGAATCAAATTCGTATTGCTTATGTATATATGCCACATAGATCTTACACCGTGTGTTATAAAATTGAGGACACTTTGAACAGGAAATAACATGTTCATCTTTGGACCAATTTTAGCAAAATGTAAAACAAATTTCAGCCAGGGGGACGTTAGATTAGTCAAAATGAAGAAATTCACTCAAAGTGTTTGAAAATTAATGAAAGAGTACATTAAGTCTTAGCAAACTTCTCAACCAGCATTAGATCTAAGTAAAAATCAAAATTTAGCAAATTTTTAAAAAAGCCATTGTGTGCATAATATATGTTTTGAAGAACAAATTTATACAAACTGACATTGTAAAATAAACATAAATAAGAACGTTACGCTCACTCACCCGCTACCCCTTCCAACGCTTTTGAGAAGTAACGTTTTGCGTTTTACTCTGGCTCAAGATTTAAAAACTAATATTTCCCAAGCACCTGAATCAATAAATGTCTTTATATTACCAATCTGTTGTCCTCGTGTTTGAATATTTTTTTAGAAGTCTTGATGTAAATGGTTCAAAGATAATTAAAATATCGACTTTTAAATTTGTCTTTTTTCATACACTCGGTGACAAATGTCTAGACTGTTAAAGATAACGATGTAATATTTATACACTGATTCTGATGGTTGAATTAGAAGAACCTCAGTTTCATGTATTTTAGACTAAACGACTTAGTGATAGTAAGAATCCCCCCCCCCAAAAAAAAGACAAGAAACCAAAAAAAAACAACCCCAATATTCCAGGTTCAGAAATGAGGTATTTGGAGTCAAGGGCAGTTACGATTTGAAAATCCAGTACTGTTCCTACTTATTTATTACATTTTTGAGAAAGCTTGAGTAATGTTCAAGGTACAAAACATTTGCTGAGACAGAGTACAAAAACACATATCTGAGAAATTAGTCTACCATTCGAAGGCAGAGCCAAATGATTAATTACCCTTGTCAGGATTTGTTTTCTTAAATTCGAGAAGTTCTCAAAATCAGCGATGTTTCTAATAAGCATTATGTTTGTCCAGAAATGTAGATGTACAGGCAATAAGTCACTTCCGTAACCTTAACATTAATTTTAAAAAGTACAATTTTGAATAGAGATGTGTCGCTTTCGTCCCCCACCCCTCACCCCTTTTCTTTCACCACAACGAGGATAATATAGCAAGATTAAAGTAACAAAGAACTAAAACCAAAACCCCCATTTTTTTTCTTCCAGACCATTGCTATGCCTTGGGACTGCATAAAACATTTCGGAATTTTACATGCTCTTTTTTTTTTTTTTTTTTTTACATTGATAACACGCTGTTATCTAAAATCTTAAGAAGTCAGTTTCATCCAACTCATTGTTGTATGTGAATAACGTTTCACAGCATAATGTGCAACAGTAATAGTTATACTGACTATGGCATTTATTTAAGGAACTAAATTTCCGATCAGAGGAAGTAATTTTAACTTACTATCCTGGGGTTGAAACCAATATGGCCAATGTTTGATATATCTCTGTAGTGTGTTTTCCTCTGAAAAAAATCTCACAGCACACACACACTCTCTCTCTCTCTCTCTCTCTCTCTCTCTCTCT